AACAAGTAGGGTAGATGATAACCATTTATTTTCAAGCTTGACTATCAGATGGCTCAGTAGCTCAAATTAGGTAATTGCCTTGTCAAATCCTTCTGGCATTCCGAGTCCTTCCATCCGACATTCCGAGTCCTTCCTTCGACATTCCGAGTCCTTCCTTCTGGCATTCCGAGTCCTTCCATCGCGACAGGAAAAATTTCCCGACAACTGGAAAAAATTTTTCCTTCCGACAGGCAAAATTTTTCTGTTGTTCGTCCGTAAACCATTCAAAATTTTCGAAAATTGAGAACTTTTTGGTCGAACTTCAGGAAAAATATTTTCCATCCGACAGGAAAAATTTTTCCCTTCCGACAGGACACAAACGGATGACTGACGTTCCTCTTCCTGATGCCTTCCAAAGCCAGAAGACGACAGCCCCAGCACCACAACAGACTTACTAAGACTAAACACTTACATTTTCAAGCTTGACTTTTTACAATTTGAACTTTGTTCGCGTAGATATGAATTCTGAAAGAAGTATGAGGGTCTTGTATGACTTTGTACTTCTCCCATAGTTCATGTCTGTCAAACTTACCTGCCATGGACTCTTTCATAAGTTTCCATGAAATCGTCTTCGGACAATCCGGGGAAAAGTACAATGTCAGTAAGTAATTCTTTTAACATCCTTACTTAAACTCTTTGCTGTCTTACACATATTACGACTGAAATGTTAAAGTGTCTGAGCTTCTTAAGAATTCGACACATATTTGTTCTCTGTTCTTTAACAAAGGATGAGAGGCGAATATATCTAAGATAAGAAGACATCTATGAGGGTAAGTCTTCCAATCGTAAGATTGCAATTTCTTCGAAATGTATCTTATCTCTTTCTGTTGTTTCTGAAGTGGTTTCTTCTCTAATATTCTCTGCATTTCCTCATTTGGGTCTTTAAACTTCGAATTTATTACTCATTTATAGCATTATACTTCAAAACTCTTCTTTGGTACTTCTTTATCCAATCTAACAACTCAGAGTCTTTTATACATACTAACTTAGACTTCTTTATAATATCTTTGAACGAATTGACGGTTTGGTCAAATTGACCAGAAGTACTACAAATGAACAACTAACTCATAAAATGGGTTCTTCTCATCTAGTTCTGTTTGTTGTGCAGCCATTTTAAGATAAGTGAAAGTCTTACCCGACCCAGGTGGTGCAATTAGACCGTGTTATATACATTCTGAGCAATAAGATTGTCATGTATAGGCTTTATCTGAGCATTTTCTAAGACTTACCTTGTTCTTGTTTAAAACATTCTCAAATTTCTTGTCAATGTCAGCAACACTTTTTTCTAACATATTTTTAGAAAAATTAAACTTTTATCTTTTAGAAATGTCTAGCGATTTCGCTATCTATATTCGAGACAAACTTTTTGACAGCAAAACATCTGTCGACCATAAAATCTTACATAGTGTAAACAAGAAAGGTGAATTTGTTCTAAAGTTCTGTTTCTGGGAATATGAACAAGAATCATAAAACATTACAAAAGAGCAGTCTTTAAAATTTGTCAATGACAGACTTGTTGACAGAGATGACGCCGATTGGAAAGATGAAGTCCAACAAAAGTTCTTTAGAATGCAAAGAAGACACATGCGCTGTTGTCTGAAGATGAAATAGAAAACAGAATAGATGAGCTATTAAAGGACAAAGAACTTTTACAAAAATATGGTTCTGAGAAGTTTGACATAACTCCACCAGAAAAGAAGAAGAGAAAAAGAAAGAAAAGAAAGTAGAAGAAGAGAAGAAGAACCTGAACCAGTTCCAGAGAAGGGGAGATATGACATGTAAAAATAAATTTTTATTTTTAGAACATTTCTGGGTCAATGTCAATGTTCTCTTCCTCTTTAGGAGCAAAACACTGGCTTAGACTCTAAATCTTTTTACCCAATTTACCTTGAACTTCACTATCTTAGACTCATAATATTCATAGTCGTCTGCTTTCTTTGGTTCATAAGGTATAACAAGTTTTGTATGCTTTGCCTTCTTTAAGGTTTGAGAACCTTCTGTCAAATTTTCTTTCTTGACTGGCTAAACAAACCTTCTATGTCTAAGTCTTCAAATTTCGCACCATTTTTATGTCACAATAGCAAACTTAACTGGTTTCGATGTTCCAAACTTTGCTGAATGAAGACTTTTCA